CCATGTTCCAGAAGCATTCCCTCCTGACGTTTCGCCTGCATCTATGGCAGGCATCCTCAGAGGTTGTGAGGTCTGTTGGAAACTAGGCAAGTGGGTTTATATATCTGTGGACTATCCAGGGTGGGAGAAAGAACTCTTGTCTTTGAGGTAGGCGTGAATGTTTCAATTGACCACCTTGATTAGCATTTAATGACCTAGCAGTTTCAAGGTCTGGCTTCTTACTGCCTGAGATAATCCTTTGTTGGGATTCACCTCCCAACAAAGAATTTCCCTAGGCAGTAAGAATCATTGGGTTGTTGTAGGTTTTTTCAGGCTATACGGCCATGTTCTAGAGGCATTCTCTCCTGACGTTTCGCCTGCATCTATGGCAAGCATCCTCAGAGGTAGTGAGGTCTGTTGGAACTAGGAAAATGGGTTTATATATCTGTGGAAAGACCAGGACAAAGAACTGCTGGAGCTAAGTGTGAATGTTTCAACTGACCACCTTGATTAGCATTTGATGGCCTGGCAGTGCCTGGGGCAATCTTTTGTTGAGAGGTGAGTAGATGTCCCTGATTGTTTTCCCTCTACTGTTTTGCTGTTTTAATTTTAGAGTTTTTTTTAATACTGGTAGCCAGATTTTATTCATTTTCATGGTTTCCTCCTTTCTGTTGAAATTGTCCACATGCTTGTGGATTTCAGTGGCTTCTCTGTGTAGTCTGACATGGTGGTTGTTAGAGTGGTCCAGCATTTCTGTGTTCTCAAATAATATGCTGTGTCCAGGTTGGTTCATCAGGTGCTCTGCTATGGCTGACTTCTCTGATTGAAGTAGTCTGCAGTGCCTTTCATGTTCCTTGATTTGGGCGCTGCGTTTGGTGGTCCCTATGTAGACTTGTCCACAGCTGCATGGTATACGGTAGACTCCTGCAGAAGTGAGAATCACCTCCCAACAAAGGATTCCTCCAAGCAGTAAGAAGCCAGACCTTGAAACTGCTGGGCCATTAAATGCTAATCTAAGTAACCATTAGAAACATTCACACCTACCTCAGACAGACAAGAGTTTTTCCACCATACACACACACACATACATTTTTCCTAGTTTCCAACAGATCTCACAACCTCTGAGGATGCCTGCCATAGATGCATGCAAAACATCAGGAGAGAATGCTTCTGGAACATAGCCATGCAGCCCAGAAAACTCACAACAACCCAGTGATTCCAGCCATGAAAGCCTTTGACAATACATTCCTTAGTGTGCTTGAAGCTTTCAAAATTATTCTTACTGTTGACATTGTTTTAAAGCAGGCATGGGCAAACTTTGGCCCTCCAGATATTTTGGATTTCAGCTCCCACAATTCCTAATAGCCAGTGGTCTTTTTTGTGGAGAGAAAAAGCGGGATATAAATAAACATAAACATATTAACACCTGATTGTGTTGATTTTATTGAACCCTTCCCTGGGGACTTTTATATAGAAGATGGGATATAAATGTTTCAAATAATTATTTATCACTGGCAATATTCAGGATGGGTTTCCAAAAGACAATTGCCCTGTTATTTATCTCATTGCTATTATTATTATTTGAAACACAACAAGATGAGTTCACAGCAGACACTCTGCTGGCTGTTGAATTGGATCACATGTCGGACACTTCCCAAGAGTCTAGGACTGTGTGATGTATCGGCGAATAATGCGTGCAGATCCCAGTAAGGTAGCCTTCTGCAGCTGGCAGTTGGTCATTTTGTCAGTGCCGATTATGTTTAAATGCAGGCCAAGGTCTTAGGCACTGCACCCAGTGTGCCGATCACCACTGGGACCACCTTGACTGGCTTGTGCCAGAGTCTTTGCAGTTCGATCTTTAAATCCTCATATCGTTTCAGCTTTTCCAGTTGTTTCTCTGCAATCCTGCTGTCACCTGGGATTGCGACATTGACATTGACATTCCATACTTGGTTTTTTAACACGATGATGATGATGATGATGATTATTTATATACTGCTTTTATCTCTTTGATTGGGACACAAGCTTGTTAGATGTTGCCAGGGAAAGGCTGCTGGCGCAAGGTTTGTTTGGGAACCCATCAAAGATGACTGTGCCTTTAAGAAGCCTGGGTTGCTGCAATTCCACCTGGCCTCCTGATTGGCTAAGAGGGATGGGGGCAAGGGAGGGGGGCGGAGTAGCCATTCAGAAAAGTGCTGCAGGGCCTCCCTCCCTTAAAGAGACAGTGCAGAGGAGGATGGTGTATGATGCCTTCTCCAAGAGTGACATGGCTGTTGCCCTGACCTCTTGACTTTTGACCTGCCTTGAGGTTCAGGACATCCCATGGCAGGAAGGAAGGTTGAAGGGCTGGCATTTACAGGAGTCAGGGGTTTACCCATCCAAAAGGCTCAATGCCTTGCAATGGATCATCTGGTTGCATTATTTCAAAGCAGAATAATTGGCATCTCCTTCTCTGGCTGCCCTGCCTCGCATGGTTGTTGTGATGATGGGATAAATGGAGGAAAAGCTTGGCCTCTTCTCTGTTCTTTGGGAACACATGTAGATCTATGTCTCCAGTCCCATATCCCAATTTTCTTGGCTGTAGCCAAGAAAATAAAGGTCCCATCTACACTGCCATATAAAATTATTATCTGCTCCTAGCTGGGTTATATGGCAGTATACACTCATATAATAAAGGTAAAGGTTTTCCCTTGACATTAAGTCAAGTCATATCCGACTCAGGGGTTAGTACTCATCTCCATTTCTAAGCCAAAGAGCCGGCGTTGTCCGTAGACACCTCCAAGGCCATGCTGTTGGCATGACTGCATGGAGCGCCGTTACCTTCCTGTCGGAGTGGTACCTATTGATCTACTCACATTTGCATGTTTTTGAACTGCTAGGTTGGAAGAAGCTGGGGCTAACAGCGGAAGCTCATGCTGTTCCCTGGATTTGAACCTGCAACCTTTTGGTCAGCAAGTTCAGCAGCTCAACACTTTAACCCACTGCACCACCTGGGGCTCAAAATGTGCATTAACTGCTTTGATAATCTGAATTATATGGCAGTGTAGATCCAGCCGAAATAGTGCTTTGAGCATTGGACTCTGGAGGCTATGGTTTAAGTCCGGACTCAGCCATGGAGACCCATTCAGTGACCTTGGGAGGGTCACTCTCTCTCAGCCTCACAGGAAGGCAAGGGCAAGCCCTTCTAAACAAACCAGACCAAGAAAATCCCGTGATGAGATTGCCCTGAGTGAGAAATGATATGAAGATATACAATAACAACAACAACAAAACAACCAAAGCCCTCTGATCAAGGATTTGATTAACGGTGGCTACATTATTAAAGCAACAAGGCCCTTATATTCAGTATAGCAACTCTACTCACTGGAGGACACATCTCACTGGCCTTTCTACACTCCCAGAAGTCTTGAACCAAGCCTGTCGTGGCTTTGGGGGTTTGAGGAGTTGTAAGCCCCCAAATTAACCCTCCAGAGTTCTGCTCTCAAGGTCAGGACTGTGTGCGTCACAAGCTGCATGTCAGGAACGTAGCTCCTTGGGACCACAACCCCAAGGCCATGTATTTGGGGGTGGGAAGCATGGTCTTTTTAAAGGCACTTGAGTTAAAAGCCATCTTCTGGGGGTGGAGGTGGGTCAGTGCGATGGCTTCAAGTGCTTCTCTCCTCCTTTTCTTCCCCTTCCTTCCTTCCTTCTCCCTCCTACCTCTGTCCTTCCTGCCTCGCTGCCTCCTTCCTTATTTTCTTCCTCCTTCCTCCTCCCTTCCTTTTTCCTTATTTCCTTCCTCCTCCCATCCTCCCTTCCTCCCCTATATCTTTCTCTTTCTTTCTTTCTTTCTTTCTTTCTTTCTTTCTTCCTTCCTTCCTTCCTTTCTTTCCTTCTCCTTCTTCTTCCTCCTCCTTCCCTCCTCCTCCCTCCTCCCTCCTTCTTCCTCCCTTCCTCCTCCTTTCCTTCTTTCTCCCCTCCTTCCTTCTTTCCTTGTCCTCTTCATACCTTCCTTCTCCTTCCTACCTTCCTTCCTTCTCCCTCCTATCTCCGTCCTTCCTGCCTCGTTGCCTCCTTTCTTATTGTCTTCCTCCTCCCTCCTCCCTTTCTTTTTCCTTATTTTCTTTCTCCTCCCATCCTTCCTTCCTACTCACCTTCATTTCTTTCTTTCTTTCCTTGCTCCTCCCTTCTCCTTTTTCTTCCTCCTCCTTCTGCCTTCCTCCTCACCCTCTCCCCCTCTTCCTCCCCTCCTCCTTTCCCCCTCCTTTCCTTCCTTTCTCCCTCCTTCCTTCCTTTCCTTCCTTCATCTTCTTCTCCTTCCTACCTTCCTTCCTTCTCCTCCTATCTCCTCCTTCCTCCTCTTCCCTTTCTTTTCTTCTCCTCCCTCCTCCCTTCTTTTCCTTTCTTCTTTCTCCTCTTTCTCTTCCTTCCTTCTCTCTCCTTTCTTCCTTCCTTCCTTCGCCTCCCTTCTCCCTCCTTCCTCTCCCTTCCTCCTTCTCTCCTCCTTCCTCCTTCCTTCCTTCTTCCTCCTCCTCACTCCTTCCTCTTCTTCTTCCTCCTTCCTGCCTTCCTTCTCCATTTTTCCTCCTTCCTCTCCTTCCCTCCTTCCCTTCCTTCTCTTCTTCCTCCTTCCTCCTCTTCTTCTCCTCTTCCCTCTCCTCTCCTTCTTCCTCCTTCCTTCCTTCCTTCTTCCTCCTCCTTCTCCTTCTTTCTTTCCTTCCTCCTCCTTCCTCCTCCTTCTTCCTCCTCCTTTCTGCCTTCCTTCCTGCTCTCTTTCCCCTCCTCCCCCCCTCCTCCTCTTCCTCTTCCTTCCTTCCTTCCTTCCCTCCCTCCCGCCCTCCTTCTTTTCTTCCTTCTCCATCCCTCCTGCCTTCCTTGCAGGGAGGTTGTGATGACAGGCAAAAGGGGAAAGAAGGGAGGGGTGGGAGCGCTGTTGACCCCCTCCCCTTCCTCCCCAACTGGCTGCTGTTCCTTTAAGCCCCCCCCCCCCCAAGGCCAGGATTGGCTGCACCAACACATAGGCTGAAGGGAGGGTATCAGAGGGCGGTGAGAGGGAGGGGGCCAGCCAGCGACTGATGCTCTCTCCCTTCCATCCAAGCCCGGCAGCATCTTCCTCCTGTCCTTCCTCCTCCTCCTCCTCCTCCTCTTCCTCCACCAGGCAGCCAATCCCAGCTGAGACAAGGGGCTGTCATAGCCCCCCTCCCTCTCCTCTCCTCTCCTCCGCCTCCCACCCCCGAACCCATCTTGGCAGGGACCAAAGGGCTGGTGATGCAGCCGCCTCCGGGAGGATGAGGAGGAGGAAGGCAAGGTAGCAGCGAGGAGGAAGAGGAAGGAGGCGGTGAGGAGGAGGAAGAGGAGGAGGAAGATGCCTAGACCCCTAGGGAGGTAACTGGGTTCTGGCTGCCCTGCTCTCTCAGCCCCCCTCCTAGCTGTGAGGAGGAAGAGGAGGAGGAAGAGGATGATGGTGAGGATGATGAAGATGCCTGGGCGCCTGGGGAGGTAACTGAGCATCAGCTGTGCTGCTTTCTTGCCTGCTCCCCCCCCTCACCCCTTAAGCTGTGAGGAAGGGAGGAGGAAGGGGAGGAAGACAGCGGTGAGGATGATGGAAATGCTCAGTTGCCTAGGGAAGTAACTGGGCACCAGTTCAATTGCTTTCTTGCCCACCTGCTTCCCCCCCCCCCCCATTCAACTGTGAAGAAGAGGAAGGAGGAATCCTGGAATTTTAGAAGGAAGCGGTGATGATGAAGATGAAGATATCCAGGTGCCTTGGGAGGTAATTGGGCACTGACTGTGTTGCTATAAAGAGGAATAGGAAACCTGGAATTTTAGAATTGGAAGAGACCACAAGAGGGAGAAGGAGAAGAAGGTGATGGGGATGAAGGAGAAGATGGCCGGGCGCTTGGGGAGGTAACCAAAGAGGTACCAGAGAGGAAGAGGAAGACGGGGGAAGGCTCTGTGTTCTGTGGTCCATTGTCTCCGGCATCCTCCCCCTCAGAGAGAAAGAGAGACACAGAGAGAGAAGATGCACAAGCACCACCACTGCTGCCGCTGCCCGGAGTGCTACGAAGTGACGCGCATGGCGGCCCTGCGGAGGATGGAGCCCCCCAGCTACGGCGAGTGGCAGCAGCAAGAGGCCTACAGCGGTGGCGGCAGCGGCGGGGGCGGCGGAGGGGGCGGCTATGGGGGCTATGGCTCGCAGACCCTGCCCTCCCAAGGGGGCTCCGGGGGCATCATCGCAGGGGGTTCAGCCACCCCCACGGCCCGTGCCAAGGGCAAGCTCATCCCCACCTCCCGGGACAATGTGCCCCCGCCACCCGCGCCCCCTAAGCAGAGCCAGGCCAAGGGATGCCCTGGAGCAGGGCCCGGAGGTGGAGGCGGCACCTGCGGCACCCCCAAAATGAACGGCAGTGGCGGTGGACCCGGATGGTGGCCCGAATGCACCTGTTCCAACCGGGACTGGTACGAACAGGTGGGTGCAAGGCATTCTTCTATTAGTCGGGGGCTCACAGCTGTCCTCGCTGTGACCCCTTGTGCCCACTTCCTCTACTATTGGCACCCTCCCTTTTGCTGTCCTGACCCTCACCATGTTGAGGATAGGTACCCCTTTTTCTGCCACCCTCACCCTCTTGGCCTCGCTGTGACCCCTTGTGCCCACCTCCCCTACTTTTGGCACCCTCCTTTTTGCTGTCCTGACCCTCACCATGTTGAGGACAGGTGCCCCTTTTGTGCCCACCTTTGTGCCACCCTCATCCTCTTGAGGATACCAAGGTGGAGGCCCTGCCATGTTGGATGGGGTACACATGTCCCAATTTGCCCCCTTTTCGCCCACCTCCTTTGGTGGAAGGAATGGGCATCATTCCCCCATCGCTCCCCTATTGCTCCCTTTTTCCATTCTCCATCTGGCCCTGACATCTCCCTTGGGTGATCTGGGGATGCTTGCCATAGATGCAGGCGAAACGTCAGGAGAAAATGCTTCTAGACCATGGCCATACAGCCCGAAAAAACCTACAACAACCCAGTGATTCTGGCCATGAAAACCTTTGACAATACATCTCCCTTGGGTTGTTTTTCTCCCTTTCCCCTTCCTCTCATGCCAGGCATCCCTTTACCCCTTGAGTCCTCCTGGTCTGTAATGATGATGATGATGATTGCCCTTTGTGCCCCCTCCGCTCCTCCTTTTCCCTTTGGCTAGTTCACCCTGGTAGCCCTTTGCCCCTCGGTGACTTACTCCCCAGCATTGAACCTCAACAGAGAAAATGGATGGAGGTGAGCCTGCCTGGAAAGGCACTAAAATGGAGGCTGGGTCTGTCCACCACCTTGCCAGCGCATGCCACGCTCCTCTCAGCTGCCGCCTCCCACTCTGTGCAATGATGGTGGTGGTAGTGATGAGGATGATATTGATGATGAAGACCCATCCCCATCAGGAGTCCACCTGGACACTCTGGCAATGCAACATCCCTGCTTTTGCCTGTATACTTCCCTTCCAATCTCCCTCCATTTTTGTTTTTGCCATCTCCTTACACCTACTTCTTGCACCCCATGGGGGTAATTTTGGGCAGAGAGAGGGTGGGCAATGCATTTCCCCCTCCCTTTCCAACCTCTTTCCCCTCCTCATTGCTGTCAGATGGATGCCCCAAGATGGCAGGGACAAGATGTGGATGCATGGCAAAAATATTGGTGGGGAGGGGGGATTGGAGTGAAATAGACAGAAAGACAGACACAGAAGGGGAGGGCTTCCCCTCTGCTCTTCATCTGAGCTGCTTTGAGGATAAGCAGCCATAGTGGAAGGAAAGAAGGATGGATGGAAGGATGGAGGGGTTTTTTTTTTGGTGTGAATGAGATGGGCTGAAAAAGAAGAAAAAGGGGGCAGCCAGAAAAGAGGGGAAAGAGGAGGCCTGTGGAGCTGGGGGCATGATGCCTATCCTCCGCATGCAATCCATGCATGCAGAACACGCCATGTTAGGCACCGCCGTGTGCCTCCGCCATGTGCTGGATGGAGGGGGAAGGAGGAGGAGGAGGCGACGAAGGTGGCATTGCTCATCGATGTGTGTGCGCTGGGTGGGGGCGGCAGGCAGAGCGTGGGCAGCGCTTTGCCACCTCAGGCGGGGAAAGCCGAGGAGGCCCCCCTCCCTTCTCATTGTGCCCTGATGGCCATGGGGGACCTCAGCATCTTTACCAAAGCAGAGGGCCCTTGATCAGTTTGCCAGCCCAGCTGCCCCTTTTCCTCTGACACACGTGTGATGAAGCGTGTGAGGGGACGCTGCGTATGCCTTCGCCCCCACCATGGTCGCCTTCCTCGAATTGCAAGATGAAAGGGGGGGCTCAATCTCCCTGGTTACCGTGTTTTATTCTCTATTCCTCCCTTTCCTTCTTTCTCTCCATCTTGGCCTCCCTTGCCCTGAGAAGTGCCATTTTGTTTTGTTTTTTTTGGGGGGGGGGGAGAGATAGGAAGAAAGGCTGGTATTGAAGGGGTGGAAGCCCCATGTCCCTCATGTACTCTTTTCTGGAGGTAAATCCCACCTCTAAACCTATAGTGAGGTCAGAGAGGAAAAGCCCCAATACTTTACTGGAGTGCAGATCTCCCCCTTTTTTATTGCCATTTCCCTTGACTAGATGAGCCAGGTTTTGCAAGCAGAATCCATACCCAAACATCATCTAAATGTGAGGCTGCCACTGAAGCATAGCAAATGGCATCTCCAAAGTCTTGAAGGCTTGGAGAAGATGGGAGAGGGAAAGGGAAGGAGAGAAGAAAATCCCACCTTTCCTCCATCTTTGCCAGGCCTGGAACCAGACCTCAAGGAAAGGCCTGGATGTGAGACTGGATTATGCTCCCCAAAATTAGCCTTTGATGTGTCCCGTTGAAGGTTTGAGTTGCTCCAGAGAGGGCTGACCAGTCTTCCCAGTTTGCCCCATGGTTTTCTCAGCAAAATCAGTGAAATGGAGTCAGAGGAGCACAGGACGCTGGCAGCGAAACTGTTTCCAAAGCATCGCAATGGCAGTTTCTCCTGAAATGCTTTTGCAAGCAGGATGTTTTTGGGTCATGGCTCTGCTCTTCCCCAACCATTGGTCACTACAGGTTTGGCCGATGCAAGAAACAAAGACCCACAACACTGGGGAATCAAGGACCTGTTTCAAATCTAGAACTATGTGCTCTCCTTTTGGTCATTTGACCCTTGCCATGGTGTCTAAGTGGGGCTCTATACCCAAGAATTAAGGTTCCTTTTGTCTGTACCATTGAGAAGAATGTGGAGACAGGGCCTTCTCTGTTGTGGCACCTGCTTCTGTAATACCCTCTCATTTTAGGCTCAGCTTGTGCCCATTGTGGCCTCTTTCTGGCACCAGCGTGGCTTTGCGTTCAACCCTGTGGCGCCTACCCTCATTTCCCTGTGACTGGTATTCTTTGAAATGCTTTTAATGGGTTTTCCTGTTGTCATCTTCTCAGTGTTGTGTGGTTGAATAGGTTTTCCATCCTGTTGTTTTGAAATGAGTGTTTTACATGCCACACCAGAGACCCTTGTAAAGAGGAAAACATATATTTTAATAAATGCGTAACCAGGAAAGCTCAATTCTGGATTTTATATTAATAGTTTTCAAGGGCAGTGTTTAGGGCAGTAGTTCCCATATTAGTGGCACAATGAACCCAGGACCATAAAGGAGCTGTCCAAGGTACCGATTAGTGTTTCCTCCTTGGGTTCAGCACCCTGGACAGCTCCTCTTGCATCACCTAAAACCTAGAATGGATCCAACCTTCTGACTATATAGGAGTGACCAGTGACGATTGGTTGGTAGGCTACTTTTCTGTTGCCTTTACTGGATACAAAGGTGGGCAAAAATGCCAAAATGTGGAGGGCCATGACAGCAAACCAGAAGTCACCAGAAATCCCCTTCTACTTTTGAAAAATGAGGAGAATGTAGATTCACACCCCTGATGACCTCAAAAGGAAACCGCTCACCTTCTAATTTTGGCCAAAGAAAGGATAGTCCAGGAAAAATATATATTCCCGTCGTTTCTTATTTCATTTGAATGGACGAACCAGCAAAACAGCCCCATGGAAGCCATATTGTGCCCATCCCTTGGTCTCGTCTATATCCTTGCTGTTGGGGCGGAGGAAAGGGTTGGTGTCAAGGCTTGCTCCTTCTTGCCCAAAGGTGGTGGAAAAGAGGAATGTGCCCCAAATAGGGGCGGCCAAATGCTGATTTTTGCCACGGTACACAATATGCGTTGTGTGTGCATGAGAAGGAGGGCAAAATGGAGAGATATGGGAGAGCTGAGCCTCGGCTGTGAGGTTTTCCCAGGGGAGAAAGCAGATCCCATGTGTTGTGTAGGGACAGCGGAGCCTGTCTGCTGGTGCGGTGTCTCCCAGGCCTTCTGGCCTCCCCAGGTTGCCTGAGGCAAAGGGAGTGGGTGGCAGAGAAAGAATGTGATATGCGAAAGCTGGCATCGATTTTGGGATTTTTTTTTGTTGGGGGGGGGGATGGTGGTTTTTGGTGATGGAGGTCCCTGTGGCCAAGGATGGAGAACCCCAAGCGTGAGGGCAATGGGTGAATCCTAGTCCAGTGTGGGGTCACTGTTGTTGTTGCCGGCAAAGGGGATGGAAAAGACTGAGCGCAATGATGCTTGTTTGGGGGGGAAGAGGAGGAGGTGGGGAGGTTGGCAGGGTGAGGTTGCTATGGCTACTTGCCTTCCTCTTCGGGAGCGGCACCCAGTCCTTATCCTGGCCCTGGAAAAGGTGGAGGCGGCAAAGGAGGGGGCTGTGGGGCGGTGACAAGCGGGTGGTTGGAGAGCAGGGACCTGCCTAATGTAAGGGGGATGTGGGGGTCCCATGAAGAACGGCCTGCAGAGGAGAAGGCTGAGAGAAGGGGGCTGGGGGAGCAGAGTTGGGAGAGGCCCCAAAGGACATCCAGTCCAACTCCCTTCTGCCTTCATGCAGGAAAAGCACAATCAAAGCAGCCCTGACAGATGACCATCCAGCCTCAATAATAATAATAATAATAATAATAATAATAATAATAATAATATAGTTGGAAGAGGCTATATGGGCCATCCAGTTCAACCCGTTTCTGCCTTCATGCAGGAGAACCACAATCAAAGCAAACCCAACAGATGGCCATCCAGCCTTAATAATAGCAATAATAATAATAATATACTTGGAAAAGTATATTATTATCATCCAGTCCAGCCACCTTCTGCTTTCATGCAGGAAAAGCACAATCAATAATAATAATAATAATAATAATAATAATAATAATAATAATAATGTTGGAAGAGACGGCATGGGCCATCTAGTCCAACCCTCTTCTGCCTTCATGCAGGAAAAGCACAATCCCCCCCCCATAGATGGCCATCCAATCTCAATAATATTAATTATAATACTGATGATGATGATGATGATGATATATTTGGAAGAGAAACCATACAGTCCAACCAGCTTCTGCCTTCATGCAGGAAAAGCACAATCAAAGCACCCC